CGTGTCGCGGCCGAGCGGAGCGCCGCGAGACTGCAGCCCCGCCGCTCCGTAACGCCGGGCTCCGAGCAGCCGCTGGCGGGCACAGTGGGCGGCACGCGGGGAGCTGCTCCGGGAGCCCCTTCCGAACCGGGACCGGGGACTGAAAGCGCAGAGGAGAAGCGTAGGAGGCATTAACCCCCCCAAGGGCCCGACCCTGCCCGCGTAGCCCCAGTTTTATTGCAAGTAATTGCAAGAAGCCCCTCAGCAACGGCAAAAGAGAGCGTTCCCGGAGCGCTCCCCACACCTCCCTCCCCAGCGCCAGCGGACCCCCAAACTCCTCCACCCCCCCCCACCCGGTGCCCCCCGACCCGGAGCGGGCAGCTCACGGAGCCGCGTTCAGAAAAGCGAAGCGTAGAGGAGGGGGGAAAAGAAAAGGAAGATTAAGGATAAAATTAAAAAAGAAGAAATAATAAAAAAGAAGAAATAAGAAGAGTTGCCGGGTCGCGGCGGAGGGGTTACCTCGGCAGAGGAGCAGCAGCGGCGGCAGGAGCAGCGCGGGGCCCGGGGGGAGCATCCTCCTCGCTCCATGCCCAGAAGTAGTCATGGTGCTGATTTATGGGCGCGGGGCGGGCGGGGGCCGGGGGTGTCGCGGCGCCGCCGGTAACCACTCCCCCGCCGCTCCCCCGCTCCGGAGCCCCGCGGGGGGTGGGGATGGGGTTGGGGATGGGGGGGGGGCACGGCCCCACCGCCCCGCTCTCACCGCCGCATGGCCACCGCTGCTCCCCGCTCACCTGCGGGGACGGGACGCTGAGCGAGGGCTCCGCGTGCGAGCCCGACCAGCTCCCCGCTCCTCCCCGCCCGCCCCGGGGCCCGCCCGAGGCCGCTGCCCCCGGGGCCCGGCCGGATCCCCCCGAGCGGCGGCGGGGCTGCCCCGGGCGGCCCGAGCGGAGCGGAGCGGAGCGGAGAGAGCAGAGCGCGGCGGGGCGGAGGGAAGAGCGCGGCTCCCCCCTCGCGGCCGCCGCCGTCACTGCGCGGGGCCGGCGGGCCGGGAGGGGCGCGAAGGGGTGTGCCGAGCTGAGGGCGAGGAGACGGGAGAAGCGTTCTGCAAGGAGCGGTGCGATGGGGTTTGCAAACAGCCCTGCGAAGCAGGAGTTTGCAAAGCGGCGCGCGCAGCGGTTCGCCGAGAGCCGTGCAAAAATGCGCTGCGAAAGAAACGCGCCGCTCGCGGAGCCTCGCGAGGCGCTTTGCGAAGGGCCGCGCGGAGGAACGCAGGCGGCGGTCAGCAAAGGGCGCAGCCCCGGACCTCTGCCCTTGAATGCCGCGCTGCTGGAAACCAGATGGCGGTGACAGCCAGCGCGGCCCTTCGGGAAGCCGTTGCTGCGACTGCCATCAATCCAGCAAGGTAAAACAGCTGAATAACCGAAGAAAGCATCCCTCTGGGAGCCTCGCAAACAGGTCCCCGAGTTGGGTTTTCCGCTCCCTGCACAAGCATGCTTTTCTGTTCCACTTGCTGTCCTCTGGTTCGCAGTTGTTGCCACTCTTATGAACGTGGTACCAAATTGCAGCCTCGTATTTTACTGCTGCACCCAAACAGAGCGACAGCGGCTGGGAGTGAGGCCTCTTCTACATTCAGATCATAAAGCATCCTTTGGTTATCCCTTCTTTATTTGCCATAATAGCTGGTCGTAAAACCCACTTTTAAGGAAATAATTGTGTACAGAAGAATCAGTCGCATGCCACAGAGATGCTGTTATTTGCATAATTACGAGGAGCCTGATTTTATCTCTTAGCTTTGTCAAAACAAAGAGGTGCGATCTCGCACCATGTTTCTGATGCCCTTGAACCAACCAGAACATGCAGCCCTTAATTCCACTGAGCCTGGGCTCATGGGCTTCACACACAGTTTGTGCTGTGAGGTCTCCTTGCTCTCTGCCCAAGGCTGGGGCAACCCAGCTCCTGCTCCCCAGTGGCAAAGAAGCACAGATGCTCAGCGAGGGGCTCTGTGCTTCTCTGGCTCCACAGCAGGTGGAGCAGATATGGGTTTAATCAGCACCTCGATTGGATCCAGCTGTTCTTTTTCACCGGGCTCCATCCATATTAAGAATTACCTTTGCATCAGAAGCATGCCGTGCTGTCACCTGTACTGCTTGGTGCCAGCAGATGGGTGGGAGGGCATGAGCAGCACAGAGCCCCAAGGGAGGGCAGGGAGGTGTTCCAGGCCAGATATAGAAAAGGGATCTTCTCAGCACAAGCCCAGACAGGCAACGCTTCGCCCCCCCATCCTCAGAAATTCAGGTCTGCCTCTCTAATGAAGAGGAGAGACTCCTGCCACCAGGAGCACTGCAAAAAATTAATGGAGATTACAGCTGTAACTGCTCGAATAGAATGCAGACCCATGTGTGGTGCGGCCCTTTTGCAATTTTAGCAGCTTGCGGCGGCCCTGTTTACAGCTGTCCCTGCCTGATCTGAGCCCAGCAGGAATGAAGCTGATAGAAAGCGAGCAAAGTGAATTAGGAGCAGAGAGGCTGTGAGCGCAGCGCATCCCGCTGCCGCCGCTCCGGGAGATTCGTCTTTCAGACAGCACCAAGTGCTCCCCTCCCCTTTGTGTGCAAAGCGCCCCGGCGTTGGCACTGAAAGGACAGCACAGCCCCCGGGTCCGGCAGGGAAGGGCTGATGGCTCTGAGCACGGCCCCGCTCCTCTGGGAGCTCCGGGGGAGGAGAGCTCAGCCCAAGCTTTCCTCCTTCCTTCTATAGGAGCTGAGGGAGAGCTCAGGGCACAGCACCGCTGGGGCTGCTGGTTGAGCAATGCTTGCAGGGTGCCTGAACGCGGCGTTTGTTGGGATGCAGAGATGAGGAAACCTGAAGGCAGAGGGACCCCACTGCTCACAGCTCAGCCTCAGATCCTGCTCTGCGGGACAGGGGCTCCCAGGCACAAAACTATTGATTTTCACCTCTACTTTAACAAATGAGCGGGGAAATTTCCACTCCTTAGAGCAGGAGATGCTCTGAATATTTATGTTATTGTTCACCGATGGAAGAAAAGAAAAAGTGCCATAAATGCACATATTTGGTGACCCAATTTGAGTGGCTCATTACAATCAGATCAAGCTAATTGCCAGCCTTGTATTTCATTTGGCAACTTGTTAAGCTAATTGAACAAAATAAAACTAATGAACAATTATAATGAAGTTTATAATTAGACCATTGAAAAAACCCAGTGTGAGAGTGTTTAAGGCATAATGAATGTTCAGGAGGCGCGGGAGGAGTTGGGCAGCGAAGCCAAATGCTCCTTCCCAGGCCCAGAGATGGTGGTGTGTCACTGCTCCCAAATCACATCAAGGCAGCGTAATATTAATTACATTCATGCCCTTCAAGTATGCACATGGCATTTAGCGACCCTAAAGCGAGGGCTGAGCCTATTAGAGAGGCAGCTGAGAGCCGGGTGCTGTGCTGAGCTCCCCGCACTGCCATGCATGTCTTGGCCCCATTAGGGCAGGGCTGCTGTGCTGCAGGGGCTACATCCTAACAGGACGATGCATCGCTCCAATGCAGAACTGCTTTGCCAGTGAAGAGCCAGGGAGACAAACCAGGAGGAACAGAAAGAGTGGGAGATGAGAGAGTGATCGCACGGAAATCCAATGGGGCGGCACCAAGCGCAGCTGGAGCAGCGATCCCAGCACACAGCAGCCTCCTCGTGCTGCTCTGGGCTTCTCCTTCCTCGGTTCCCTGTCCCTGCACAGCAGCACGGCTCAGCAAACAGGAATAAACCCTAAAGCAAAGCGTGAAACAGGCCCCTCGATGCGAGATAACCAGGGCCATTTGCAGCCTCGCTTGGCATTTGCACTGAAGAACAAACCTGTACCAGAACCTCTCTCCATGCTTTACACTCCTGCATTAATTCATGAAGTGTCGTGTATCTGGCATATTTCATTATACATAAGTATCAGGCCAATTAAAACCCTCAGGTGAGTGCAGCAGCCGCACAGCCAGGCTGGCACAGGCAGGCCCATGGAGGCACAGGACCTGCTCAGCTCAGCTCCGCTCCTGCAGGCAGGTTATTTCAGCTCAGTGGTACCTTTTTGTAGCTAACAGCAGCTGAAGAGGCTCAACCCCACCATGGGGTGGGAATGTTACCCTGCACCAACCACTTCTGCCTTTAAATTGCTACAGGAAGGGAATGGCACTGACAAAGGGAACTCTGGAGAGCAGATTCCTTAGCAGTGTGAACCTCTGTGCGTTCTTCAATATGCCATCATAATCAACAATCATTTTTTTTTCCTATGGGTCCTCACTGTGTCAGCCAGGACCTCAGGCAGAACGCTGATAACCCTCTCGAACTCTGCAAAAGCAATGCTCAAAGCGTTAGGGCAAGAAAGAAGGTCTTGTAATTATGAAGTAAGGAGGCCCAATTAATTCTTTGCTAACACGCTACAGAACAATGGCTCAGCAACAGCACACTGAGGATTCCCTCCCCCACGCACTGCTCTGTTCCCAAACTCTGTGGCTGAGGATTCCTCTGACCCACGGAACCATGAGAATTGCATGGACAGCTGAGGCTGCAGTGTGAGTGCTGGGGGCACCCTGCAGTTCTGCAGCTCAAATTGTTCAAGATGCCCTCAGAGCCACTAACAGCAATTCGGGAGCTGTTTCCCACTCCTCTGCACACCAATTCACTCCTGCTTTGCACACAGCCCATCACAGCAAGGTGCTTCAGCTGACGCTGATCAGCGCTTCAATGGAGCACATGCTCTCAGCAGCTTGGCCACGCTGCACCAAGCTTGTGCATTCCTGCTACAATGCAGGACAGCATTCAGCTTCTTTCTGGTGACCCTACAAACCCCCCAGCCCCGCAGTTCCATCTCAGGATGAAGCTGTCACACTCCACTAATGCATTTTAATATTGCCTTAATGCTCATTTGCCTGTGTGACTGACTGCTCTGCCTTGTATCCTTCTCACTGTGCATGCACTGAACAAAAGACATCAACAGCCCCAGGGAAGGTGGACTCCACCAGGCAGTTACCTTTGCCTTTAAAATCACCGACTTTGTAATTCACACAACCAATTTCTCTTTTGCACATAACTTCTATCAGCTCCATCCCGCTTGGGCAGTGGCCTGCCTGCTCATTTTCTTTGGAACCACTGCTAACCATGGAAATTAACTGAAACCAGAAGGCAGTGAGAGGGAAAGTACCTGCTTTGAGAGGAGCTGACAACAGCACGTTTATGATGGCAGCAATAAAACTGTGAGCCAAGGACAAATGGATGGGGCTATAGAGTTCTATGGAGGTGCTCTCAGATTTGCAGAAGACCGCCTGAGAAACGCCCCCAGCTGTGATACTGCTGCTCTGAAGTTCCCCCTGTTGAACACTTATGCCAGAGGCTTACAGTGATCTGCAGTGAGCTCTCTGCATCCCACACGTGCCACAAGTATCTGTATTTTCCAAGCAAAGCACTGCAAACCCCAGATTGAGAATAGGCAGCACGCATAACCGGGGGCCACTGGTTACACAATGGCAGCCCAAAGGCAGCAGATCTTGGGACAGAAGACCTGAGCTCACAAGAATCCTCTTGAAACAGCATTTGCCCCCTATTTCCCTATGTTTGATCACTACTTCCTTACATGCAGGCTCTGAAGAGAGCACAGCTAGCTTATAGCTGTAGATGGGCAGCAGGATACTACCTTCTCTGCTCCTTATTGCCAGCTGGTGAGCTGCCCCCACCTTTCCAGGCATTCTGAACTACCCCCCATCTGGACAGAGCTGTGTTGCAGTACCTAAAGAAACAGGTCACTTGCATTTCTCTTTGCTTACCTTTGGTGTACATTGGCTGTTTGGAGGACAGCAGGAGCCAGCCTCAGGAAGCCTGAACAACAGCAGCTCTGCCTCCACCTCCCTCAAGGAACAGCTCACCCCTCATCTCCATCAGCTGTGCCCCCAGCACTTCTGAAACTCAGTGCTTTAAAACCAGGTGAGGCACTCAGAGGTCACTGTCAGCAGGGCATAGAATTTGTATCACCTGTCAAGGCTTTACAGCTAGCAGGTCATTTCCAGCACACAGACCTACACACACACACACACACACACACACACTTTTTTTCCCCTGTTAATACAGTCTGGGAACACCTTTGTACAGTCTGACATTTGCAGGAGATCAAATGAGATCTGTTAAAGCTTCCTATAATTTTTCCAGTATGATATAGGATTAAAAAAAAAAACCAGCCTGTAGGCACTGTATATGTTTTTAGCATATCTGTGCTTCTAAACTATCTTTAATTAATGAAATATCCCCAAATTACTTATTAATAAGGGTCTGTGGGCTTTGTAAACAGACATTTTGCATGAATTAAAGAGCAATATGATGAAGTTTTAATGAATACAAAGTCACAGTTAATGTAAAATTTATATATAGCACGCCAGAGGGGAAAGGAATTTAAAAATACTTTTAATCATAGGTTATTGGCAGCTGGATAGCTCATTTTTATACTTTCCTAACGGGTGCTTGGTATTTATGTGCTAGCATTTATCACGCCAGCATCTATACTATCCAACTTGGTACAGTTCAAAAAGTCAAATGGAAACCAACTCATTTAAAGACTCATTTGCTAATGAGGCATTTCTGAGCCCCACGGTGGGTGTGGAGCTGCTGCCCACAGCGACTGCGTTCTTCACATTGTCACAGAGGGGCAACTTTCACCCTGTGTGAATGAACAGCCAGACTTGATGAGCTCTGCAGCAGCATTCAGCTTACTGAGCTGGCTGAGATTTGTCACAGGGGGAGGAAACTGCAGTTCACATTGACTGTCTGCAGCAAAACATCACCGCCAACAACTCCTTGATCCTGCCCTAAACAACAGGCCATGCCCTTCCTCCCCTGTTAGCAGCATGAACACATTGCAGCTCCTTCCCATAATGCCACCAGCACACGTGCAGCACATCTTCTCCTGTTTACTGTGACCTTCTAAATGAGCCAGCCATGCATACATAGCCAGCACCTATGTTTGCTTGTCTTGGGCTCTGCACCAGAAAGAAACAGGATAAAACTTTCAGAGAGCAAACATTTTGCTGTGGGGATAGACTTGGCTTAAAAACCCATTAAAATCATCAGCAGAAATTAAGTTACAAATGGTTCCATGACAACCAATCTAAAGAAAATTAAGACAATAGCTGAGTGAAAGTGTAAACAAATATATATATTACATATATATATGTATATATATATAAAGAATCAATTTATTTTAATTAACTCTATTACTGTTGAATGCATTCAACACAACTATAAGGACATCCATTATTTTAATGCATTAAATACTTAACCCACAAAACTCAAATAGTGCAGGAGATGCTGACTGCCAGAGGTTCAGTGCAACTGCTGCCATTCTATTTTCCTCGTGGGAAAAGAAAACAAGGTTTTAGTGCTTCCATTTTACTGTTTTAGTATGCTCACTATGGTATTTCTCCCTTTATGAACTGGAGGGGTACAGGGCTAGGAAACATGTTAGCCTTTCATTTTCACGGTGACATTTAGTAAAAAGAAGTGTTAGAAAATCATCAGCTTTTAATAAATGAACACACTGGAATCCTTCAGCTAACGAAACGGTGGATTGCTGCCAGTAAAGAACTTCAAAACCAGGAGGCAAACGCTGCCTCCAACTACAGTGATGTTAAACTCAGAGCAACTGAGATCATTTCCATGCACAGACCCCAGAGCTACGCCAGCAATACGGCAGCGATTGCTCCTCCACCTCTGGAATCCCCTGAAGTCTATGGATGAAGAGCTTGAAACAACAGGAGGGCTCCATCACAAAAGGGAGCAGCAGTTGCCTTCAGAAGTACCACCAGCTATTTGGGGCCTGGAATTATTCTGAGTCAAGTCAGATCGATTTAGTGCATTATGATTTGGCTTTATAAAAACATGCAAATGCACGCGTAGGATGCTTCTGTGTTTCACAGACAAGTAGTTACAACTGCTGCACCTTCCTTGCAGGTGGCTCTAAAACGCATTGAAAAAGAAAAACGTTACAAATCCAGTTTCCTCTTTTTAAAAAACGTGAACATTTTGTGAAAGAAATATTCTATTATCAACTGTAACATCTGCTAATGGTGCTCCCATCTGATGGGCTGCTGAGGGGAGTCTAACCAGAAACAACGCATTCGGCATAGATATAAAAATCAGCACAGGCAGGTTCCTCCTTCCAGGCTGGACGTATGGCATATTGAAGCAATAAAAGGGAGCTAAGCTTCACCCGAGCCTTTCAGAATGCACTTTACAAGATATTTCTTTTTCTTTTAAAAGAACCACTGGTATTAAATAGAGCTTTTCCTTTACATACAGCATTGGTATATACAAAACAAACACAGAACAAAGACAGACGTGAAAAAAAAACCCCAAACCAACAACCACGAACACATGGCTTCAGAAATTCTGAAGCTCAGGAATATTTTGGTAGAGGTCCAAAGTCTCTGGGTTTGAGAAAGCTCCCCGCTGCTCTACTTCTTTCCCTGCAATTATTTGCTTCACGGCCACTTCCACTTTCTTCCCATTGATCGTATACTGAAAAACAAAGCCAGCAAGGACAGAATTACACTTTTCATGCAGCAGCTTCATGGAAAGATTAATAAGAATGCCTACCTAAGAACCCAGCCACAGTGCAGCCTCACACCTTCCCTTTTCTGCTGCATTTGATCAGTGTTTATCAGGTCAGGATGGGACGGTGAAGATTTGTACACAGAGCCCACAATGTTTCTGAACACCTGGAGATCTCATGAAAAACAATGCTCTGCATGACTGAAGCACAGCTGTGCTATTTCCACCAGTAGGCAATGGCAGCATAAAGTCAGGATTAGACAGGTTTCTGTCCCCCCCATCAGAAAATACAGTTCTATAAGTAGCAGAAAAGAGGTTTCCTTTCCAAGCAAAACCTTCAAAGAAAGATAGGAGACAGCTTTGATCGTTTTACCACTGGAATATTTACCTGAAATGTAATTAAAATTCACTCCATTTTAAATTCACTCAAAGTGTGAACTAATTAATGATCTAAGCATGCTTTCCTGAGGGACAGACCGTCATAAACACTTCACTGCCATCAACTTTATGCTGTACATCCAAGTGATTTATGCAGCTTACAAGTTGAACACTTCATGCAGAAACCAAACCACAGCCTGGAAAAATCTAACCTTCACCATTTGTCAGATGCAGGGGCTTTTATGTTCATGCTGTGACAACATTGTAAAGCTAATACTATTGGAGAAGAGCAACTTGATTCAGAAATAACCCAACAGATCAGATCCAGATCGCTGTGCATTATGAAGTTGGCAGTCCTGTGCCCTGGAACAGTAGATGAGGTACCAGTGCACAAAATGATGGGTCTGAAGCCTCAAACCTATGTGCATGTGGCCTCAAGACAACACAGCCTGCATCCCCATCCTGCAATAAGGTGTCCATAGAGCTGTTGAGGAGGCTGTAGTATCAGAGAGGACTAGGTAAGAGATGGGCTTCCCAAATAAGAGTTCATACAGCAAGGAGGAGTAGGGTAGAATACTACAGCTCACAATTCCAGAAGACTGAGCATGCAGTACCTTTAGCTGTACATTTTTCCTCTCTGCCTTTCACAAGCAGAAAGATTTTTAGTTATTGCTACTGGGAAGACAGTGATAAAGCTACATTTTAAATGGCTAAACAGATGTACAAGTGAAACGGATTGCAAAATGATTTCATAAATTTGCTCAGCGCTCTCAGCTTTCATAAGGATGTCATTTGAAACTGGAAAACAGAAACAAACCAAGCTCATGGGTAGCGTGAAAAGCTTAAGTTAAATTACCTTCCTAATATTTTCCTTTAAAAGACTTCAAGTATATATTACTGAGAAAAAGCAGCTTGTATATTTATAAGCTGAGAATGGGCATTTTTAGGTATTGTTAAAAAAAACAAAAACACACTTAGCTGAAAAGGAGATGAAATGATGTTGCTAGGCAACATAGACAAACTATTTATAAAGCTCGAATACACTTTTGAGATGCTAAAATTTCCATGCATGTGGGCTTGAAGAGCAATGACAACTGCTCCTTAATTACTATTCAAGGTGACAAAGAAAAAAAGTAGGCAGCATTTTTCATGACATACCGGAATGCCTTTGGTTTCTAGAATGAGGCTTGGAACATGCCTGGCAGAAAGTGCTACACGGATTGCATCTCGAATTCTTTTCACCAGGTCCTCGCTGAACGCATGGTCTGAAGCCATCTTCAAGAAGAGTATCACCCTTTCCTCCCCATCCTTGTTGTACTGAGGGACACAGAGGCTGTCAGAAACCTCCTCAAAGGCCTCAACTGGAAATCAAAGAAGAGTCATTTTTTAGTGCGTGTTTTGTTTTATTTTGAACACAGGATTTCTGTAATTGCAAAAGAAAGCATTACTTCCTGGGATGTACAAAGGGAAAGCAGACTTCCTGGCTAGGTCATTCTGCAAGCCTTGCCTCCAGGAGCTTTGAGATTCTAACTCCTGCTCAGCTGAAGTTTTAAGGGCCACTTGTATGTAGGCCCAGGACAACAAAAATGGAGCCGATGGCAGTTTTTACACAAAACTATTGTCTTTGGTTTGTCTCCCGATCTCCAGTTGCTGCTTAGACAGAAATCTAACACGTCTGATCACATAGGAACAAGGTGTGGCAACAGGTGCCCAAGGGAAGATTCACACCTTGGCACGCAGCTACACCACCCTCCACAAGGCAGACGTTTGAGATACGAAGCGGTTTGCATCTCGACAGCCTCATGGAGGCTGCACTAGATTCAAATTGTAAGGATTCAAACCAGTCCCTGCTAAAACTGCTATTTATACTACAGAACCCTGTTCCCTATTCTGGGGAGGCAGAAGCAGACGTCAGTTGTACCAGGGTAAGCCTTCCAACACGAGAAGCCTGTTACCCAGCTAAAGCACCGCAGTGCAGAAATGGAGCATGACCCAGGGCAGCTGCCACAAACACCCACACGGCTCTTCTGCAGCTAAGGGAACTCGATCCTCCAAACCTCACACAGCACTGGGAAGAACACTATTTCAATTGAACAGGCTTCAGCAGTGCAACCTAGCCTCCCCATCCTTTTGCACTTTTGGCTTCACCTGCAATCCTTCTTTTCAATCAGTTATTGTAACATAAGCTCAAGTACTTATCAGGAACGATGAGATAAAACAAAATAGTGTCAAGAGCTTGGCTAAGGGAAAAAGAAAGCATAGCTTCAGAAGTACTCTCTAAATTTGATTGAAATACCTGTAAGATCTTGTTATATGAAAGCAACATCTTACAGAGAACATCTCAAGTCACCTGCAGTGACTTGACTGCAGTCACCTGCACTATCTGCTCTAGATGCTTTAGGAAGGCGACCAATTTCAAGTGTACAGGACAGACTTTTATTGTTCATGTTAATATGTACCATTTTCCATTTGAAAAAGAGCAAGTTTTATCACTCAGCCTTTCCAGACACCTCTATAGCACTCGTATCTCAGATTTATGGCAACAAGGTTGTAGTTAAAGGATGTGAAAAGTTGATTTCATACCTATATTATAGATTTCAGAACTTCCGAATCTTACTCCATTTGGATTTAATGTACCATCACTGAAAGTCACACACAAAACAAAGAGGCATTAAAATGTAATTACAGCTTGATCAAAAGAAAAAAATGATGCAGTTAACCAAGTTTCTCCACATCTCATGCAGTGAATATGCAGACAGCCACATAAGAAACAGAATTTTAAAATAACTCGATGCTGTGAAAAAGGCCTTTTGCTCATTACAACAAAATTGTACAGAGAAATCCAGCATTATCCATTCCCATTTCCCCCCCTCCTCCTCACAGTAGCCCAAATGCAGGCTAGTTCTCTCTCCTTTGCTTAGAGGTGTACACTGACAAAACAGGAAAAAGACTTCCTAGAACTTCACTGCACTGCAGTTGTGTGCCATTACTTCTCAGCAACTGAGAAACTCGTGTTTCACACACAGCAGCCTCACACCTTATGCCTGTAAGTAGACCTGTTTGTGACAGAGCCAGACAGCTCCAACACAGTCACTCACCTTTATTTTGAACACTAGTATGCAAATGCAAGCATAACATTTACCCCTATTTGTGACCTCCAAATCTATCATCTCTATCAACTATCTATCATTT